TATCATGTAGGTAATGAAATACGAAATTCCTATGATTTCCATTCCAGATTATAAGGCAGAGTGACGGGCATTCAATAGAGTAATTGTGTGAATAAATTAATGTGATAGAAATGACAATAATTTCAGCATTAATAACCGAAACATCTACTTAGCGGTTCTTACAATCAGTTATTTGAGACAATTTTGGAAATATTCCAAAATTTGCGCATTGAAACAAAATGGCTATGTGTGGTAGGTGATTCATAAATCACATTGATAAATGCATTATTTAACGATCTAAAACACCGAAAATATAAAAAATAAACCACGCATTATATAAATTTATATAAAAATATTTATGGATGAGAAGTTGAACGAATTATTTTAATTTCTAATGATCCTATTTGAAAATTATTCTTCGAATCTTCGTGTCCGCGGATTCCTCCAGCTTATCCAGTTAAAACTGTTCAAAAATATCGTTGATGAACGTTGTTTCTAAGTAATTTTCAATTGGATTTTGTGGAAAAAAATCAACATCAATGATCAGATTTTGTAAATTTTAGAACTGAAAGAGCGAAAGAAATAGAAATAGCAAATCTTATGTTGCCTTCTTTGCTTTTATAAAGTTACTTTTAAAGTTTAAAAAAAGATTAAACAATAAATAACAATCCCACTGAACTAATACAATTATAATAGTATTTTAAAAGAATAATTAGTAATTAACAAACCAATAAAAATTAAAAAATTAAACGAAAAGATGCTTAAAAAAGTAAATTTTTATTCAAAAAATAATAAATAATACTTACAAGATACTTGTGCATAGTTAAATCTTAGATACTGAAGCTTTGCTAATATAATAGCATATGACGTTTCATACAAATATATATATATATATATATACCTATATAGGTTAGTGACGACCTCATGGAAATAGGACAGGATCATCTATTTTGACTTGAACTTTAACCCGATTTTCCTTACTTTATGCTACTAATTTTATTATATATATGTCTTGAATTAATAGTTTGCAAAATTAATTTTAAAAGCGTAAAACATTTTATAAAAAATTACTTTATTTTGTATTTATGAAGTGTGTAATGTAGGATAAAGCATACCAGATATAAAATTGGCTTTTTTAATGGTTTTATTAAATTTTATTAAATAAATTGTAAAGAAAATAATTTAAAATATAAATTACAGTTCATATAAATCATTCTTATAATTTGTTTAGTTTCATGAAAGTAATTTTAAAATGATATTCAAAGAAGAAAACTAAAATTAAATATATAATTAATACGTTTATCCAGTTATATTAAACCTATTTAAATTATAGAATTAAAATATATAATAATTTAAATTAAATTTTTATATGTAAAACTGATTTATAAAT